CTGTTGCCCAAGAACCCAGGACTTTTCCATAGGGCTACTCACAACATGGCATCTAGCTTCCCCAGGGTGAATAATCCGAGAGAGAGAGAGGAAAAAAAAAAAAAAAAAAAAAAAAAACAAGAGCAAGGATGTACCATGGAGAAACAAAATGTCTAAATGTCTTTTTTGTATACCCCTTTAAGAACTGAGGTTGCAAAATGCTAAGATTTTGAAAGAAAGAATTATACTTAGTGGAAGACTATGGGAAGCCCTGTTATTTAATAATTAGTGTCACCATGAGTAGAACCTAAAATGGAATTGTTGGAAAAAAATGACAAAATCCTTTTTATTATTATTGACCCTTTGTGAAAAGAAAAACATTAATTAAGATCAGGTCAAAGGAAAAAATACTTCCCTGATTTCTGAGTAAGAGATCCTAAAATTGTAGGCAGTATAGTGGAAACATAAAGTTTAGAAGAAAATGGGAGGGAGTATATGAAAAAATAGCAAAATTCAATTACATTTTATTCAAAATCACCATAATGAACAATGGTTGAGTAACAATATTACTGTTTGACATTATTCTATAAGGACTGAGCAGTAAAATATTCAGTTTTGGTTATTCTGGTTTTTAAATTATCTAAAAACTTACAGATAGAGATGATTATGAAATTAAGAAATAATTTAAAAACTAAAATCTTAAAAGAAACATAGAAAGATTTGTATTTCTTTAGAGGAAATAAAAGGTATTTATCATTTAATAGAAATTATGAGCAACTTTGCTTATATATTTTTTTCCTTTTTAAACCCAAAATCATTCCAATGAGACAGTCTGGTGGGTTCTGGAGTTTTTCACCTTGAAGATATTCAAAAAGAGACTAGGAAAATATTTTCACAATGTATTTCAGAAATCTACCTGCCTAAAGGCAGGCAGCTTGAACAGAAAATTTCTCAAGGCTCTTATAGATCTATTATCTTACAATTCTATAATTTCATGGCAATTCAAACCACTTTATATTATCAACATTCTCCATTTATGTGAACAGGCATCAACTCTTGTATCTTATTTCATTTATAATACAAGAGCTTGAAAAGCACCTTCAGACAGCAATTTGTCCATGATCTGATATATTTTCATGGTTTTGTAAGCATGAAAGATTTAAAAGAACTGTACTAAGGACTGCATTATTTATAAAGGGAAGGTATGAAACGGCATGTCACTGTAGAAATTAAAATAGAAAAGCAGTAGAATTCTCATAAAAGCCTCCATTTTTACTGTATTTTCAGATCAAGCACAAGTCTAAACTTTTAGGATGGTGGTGGAGGATCATTGACCTCTTCCAGCAACCACTAAGAAAATTTCTTCTCTACCATAATGAATAAAATCACATAATATAGCCGGAAACTTTACTTCAGTTTCATTTAGAGATATACTGACAGGTTGGCAAAGTAAAGATCTATTGGTTGGTTTATTACAGCTTAGACTTTGACTTATGCTTCTTGCTAAAAAAAAATTCAGGATGGGCGCCGTGGCTCACACCTGTAATCCTAACAGTCTGGAAGGCCGAGGCAGGTGGATCGCGGATCGCTCAAGGTCAGGAGTTCGAGACTAGCCTGAGCAAGAACGAGACCCCTTTTCTACTAAAAATAGAAAGAAATTAGCCAGCCAACTAAAAATATATATAAAAAATTAGCTAGGCATGGTGGCACATGCCTGTAGTCCCAGCTACTTGGGAGGCTGAGGCAGGAGGATTGCTTGAGCCTAAGAATTTGAGGTTGCTGTGAGCTAGGCTGATGCCACTGCACTCTATCCTGGGTGACACAGTGAGACTCTGTCTCAAAAAACAAACAAAAAAACAAATTCAGAAACAAAAAAGAATTTTAATATTTATTAAAATACTAACCTATGTGTGTCTCCATATTCTTCTGTAAAGTAGGGAATAAAAATGGAACCTACCTTATGTGGTTGTTAAGGGAATTAAATTAGTTAATCTATTTGAAGGCTTATAATAAGTATTTGTTTTAGTTAAGTATTATTATAGTAAACTGACTACTGCTTGTAGTTAACTGACCACTGCTTAATAAATTAAATTAACTGATGTTCTATACTTCTTACATAAAACATAGAGATTAATCATTAAGCTAATTTAATATACCAAAGCAAACCAGCATATGTAGCTTGAAGGTTCCCCTTCGATTTATTTGCAAAATGCTACTTAGAAAAAAATTGTATGCATGTATGTTGCAAATATGTAATGTAAATATTTAATAAATAAGTTAATATTGTATATGAAGAGAATGTTGTTTATATGAAAGTTTTGCTGAGTTGAAATCTTTTTAAAAAGAACAATAAGACCCTAAGATATTGTTACTATATTAATCATGTATATCATGTATTAAACCAGAGAAAACATTTAGATGAAAAAATTAAAAATTAAAAATTAAAATTAAAATTAAAAATTAAGATTAAAAATAAAGATTATTTCTGCTTTTAGATCACATTGATTATTTCTTTTACTTCCTTTTCTTCTTGATAAAAAGTAGCTTAGAAATTATGGAGGTTGCTTTTGATTGTAGTTTGTGCTAGAAAGAAGATATAGAATGCCAATATCCCAATCATAGGACTCATCTGATAGATAAAAGTATGATAAATTAATATGCATTATGTTGGAAAATTGTAATGCTTAAGATATATTAATATATATATAATTTTTCATAATTCTTCAACTTAACCAACTTTTCACATTCGTTAACTGTTGATTCCAATTTTATTAGAAAGAAGGCTTACACAGTTTTATTTCTTAACTTGGGGTTGAGAACATATGAATAACATCTATATCATTCTTTTTAACTGTATTCATGTGTTTGAATATTTCATAATATAAAAGAATGAATGGGAGATAAGGGAATGGGGAGTGCATTAAAGAAGAGGGTCTCTGAACAGTAAAGTTAGTTGAGGGTTAATAAATTGACAAAGAGAGATTTGGGGGTTGTTACAGTTGTGATTGGGAAGATTCAGAATGCTATGAATTTGTATGTTGATGTAGATTATCTAGTGTGGAGGAAGATGTTGATAATGAAAGAGAGAGAATAAACAAGGAGAGAAAATATTCAATTAAATTATAATCATTGAGTTACAGAACAAAAGTGGATTTTATATTTGTATTTGATAGCAGAGAGATACTCTTCACTTTAAGAAAAAATGTAAAAATAAAATTCCCAGCAACTTACATATTTGTGTATCTATGTAAACACACACACACGTACATGCACATATACATACACACACACCAATTATTTAAAAATAATATATTTTGTTTCTATTTTCAGCTATGTCTCTGGCTCTAACTATAATGTATTCTTTGAAAAAAATTAAATCTGCAACTTGAATACATTTGAGTTGCATTCTACAAGCTGAATCTACAAGATTCAGAGTATATCTGGCTTCTACAGTTCTACATTGTGAAGTTACACATGGGTAGTCAGTGAACTGTCTGCTTATTATTTATTTGGACTGCTTATAAAAGTTCTTAGTGTCATAGCTTACTATGACTTTAGATCAACTTAAAGGTTTGAGGTGCAAATGTTGGAAGAATTTGAAACCATTTGTATTTGAAGACATTTGGAATGGTCAAAATATGTTCTAAAATATTCTATTAGATAAGTTACATGTGCTGTGAAACTCTTTCAAAACCCACCCTGGTTGAATTGATAGATTCAATTAATTCCCTCCCTCTAACTAGGGATGAGGAAACAAATTAGATCCTTATATTTCTACTGATATTTTCAGCTCTACCGTCTCTTCCATAATTTCTGTTCTGTTTCATCCCTACCATTATTTCTGCTTATATTAGAAGTTTCCCAGATATTATATGTAAACTATTATTGTGAAGCATAAATCAAGTCATCAGAAATAGTAATTTTGAACATCAAATGATTAAACAGTAAGAGGTGGTATAGGCTCCTCTACAGAAGGAGACGTTGTAAGACTTGGAAGGCATCAAAGAAAAGGTAACAAATTGGCAATGACAATGATTGAAGAGTTATAATAGCATTACATTTAAAAACAGGCTATTTTAGAGTCATGTGCAAGTTTGATTTTCTGAAATAATACTTTTTTTAGATAAATATATTGAGTAGAAATTCTCCTTGCTTACATATACCATGGAGTGCATAGTAAATAGGCTATGCTTTGTGAACAAGTAAAAAAAAAACTGTATTGTTTCATAGATTTTTGAAAGCAAAGGTTAGCTATTTTTGTTTCAATTTTATACTTACTATAATGAGCCAAAACATGATATTTTATTTAAATATCTCTTATTGGGATTTATATGTCAGAAATCATTTTATTTAAAAATTTAGAGTCCTGTAAACATTGTTATGAAAGATATGTTTCATCTTTTTTTATGAGATAGGACCCTAAAAAAGAGAGAACCAGAAAAACATGAACAGAGCTGGGTGCAGTGGTACATGCCTGTAGCCCCAGCTACTCATCGTGGGCTGAGGTGGAATGATTTCTTGAGCCCAAGAGTTCAAGTCCAGCCTGGAAAATGCACTAAGAACAGCACTGACTGATCAACACTAAGGTGCTCACACAGTAGTAATGTTCTTTGGGGTAGGTGGGTTGGGAGTGGGTAAACTCACAACTAATGGACATGGTGAGTGTGTAGTGGGGAAGGGCACGTCTCAAAATCATGGCTGGCATGTGGCAAAGTCATAACATGTAACCAAAATGTTGTACCCCTATAATTTCATGAAATAAAAAAAAAATTAAATTAAAGAAAAAAGAAAGACAAAAGGAAAAACATGAATGGAAAGAAAATTTAGTTGTCCAAAATAAATCATATAAGTAAGAATTGACTTTATGTGAATAGACTAGTAGGTCTGCTGGAATAAAAACAGGAGTGTAAGGTAATTTGGTAGACTTTTGGTAGACTGTTGCAGTGATTTCAAAGGAAAAATTATAAAAAAAAAAAAAAGAAGCACAAAAGTAAAACTAACAAGAAAAACCATCTCAATAATCCATGCTGAAATTCCCAGCTTCTTTTGAGCTGGTAACTTTAATAATATTCAACTAGAGAATCCTTGAGGTTCCTGGGAATGCTGGTCCAGTGATGCTGCCATTTTCCAATGCCTGGAATAATGCCATTATAATACAGGGACTTTCTTACTGTCTTATCCTAGAAAGAAAGGAATGTTCAAAATAATTAATCCTATCATACCTAAACTTTAAAGCTGATAATAGCATTAACGGCCTGTATTCCATATAAAAACAAATAGGACAACAAAAACAAGAATCTTAGAACCTCTAAGGATAGAATATTCACATAGCAAAATATATAGAAAAATAGTAAAATAATTTCTATATAATTTTTATTAAATAAAACAATTTCGATGTTCATATCTATAAACTATTTCACAATGAAACTCATTTTTAAGTTCTAAGAAAAAGTATCTGGGGAGTAACTGTAATATAACATTGAATTTATAAAGCATGCTTTTTTCTAAAATCCTTAAACTCTTTGTATATGCTACTTAGTTTATCCCGTTACTAATATCAAGCAGATAAGAAATTATTTGCCTTATTTTTATCATATGCCATGATGGTAAACTCTTACAATTACTGCAGTAGCTAGTATTATTATTTAAACATTTGATGCCTCTCTTTGGGATGTCCCATATGGGTACGACCCTACAGTGTCCTTGACTTAGAAGAGGCTTAGACTTCTCTGCCCCATTGATACTGGGAATGACCAGGTAGCCTGCATTGATAAATGCAGTGAGAGGAGACATGAGGTCTGCCACATCTAAGAAGCTTTAGGAGCCTTTCAGTGCTCCCTGCACTTCCCATCTTTTCCCCCACTTAGAGCCATACTCTGGGGCCGTGGCATGATGCAGACATGCAGTCAGCCTATGTTGGATGAATGAGTCAGAAGTGAACCTTTGTTGCTGAAAGTCACTGAGGGTTTGGAGGTCATTTGCATCATGGCAAAATTTAGCTTAAGTTGGAGATTTACATTCATATTTTAAAAACACATCTTATTCTATGCTGGATTTTCTTTATTTTGACTTTATTTGTAAAAGCAAAGAATGAAATAAAAGCCACAGGGAGTAAATGAATTTATAAATAAGCAAAAGGAATGAGTTTGTGTTGATTGCTGACTGTTTCATTTAACCTTCAAAAATACCCTCAAACATGGGGAGTATTTGTTCAATTTTTAAATGAGGACACTAAGGCAGTTTTTAATAAAAAAATGTGCTGACTCCAAGAGTTGATGTGAATAATTACATTACAATGTAACTTAAATATATAGTAATATAATTAGATTTTAATTATTGGCACAGAAATATTTTGCAACTATTAGAACAAATGTTCATACAACAACTATGAAATCAATTATATTCAAGTTAACATTAATTTAATTTGAAAGATAATAAAGTTAAGCTGAAACTATATCAGGCTTTAGAAAATGAATATGGTACCTATTGTTTCAACATAGTTTTTGTTTGTTTTTGTTTTTAGTTCCCTAAGCTTATTCTATTTTGTAGAGTATATAAATTTAATTCATAGACCACATTTCTACATTTGAAGGATTGATATACTTTTTTTCCCACTTATCCTACCATTAGGTTATTTTCCACTCCAGTGGTACAAAGAAAATATTACATATTACATATTATATTTGTTAACCCTTTTCATAAAACTTGGATAATTAAAACAGTACTAATTAAAAACAAACACACAATCTCTGTGGTAAGTAGATACTTAAAAATAATATCCAAATAGTTGAGGATACATTTAATTTTTCTGTAAACACTGAAAGTAAAAAGCAGTATTAATATATAAATTTATTATAATGAGATATATGATATCATACAGATATAAGTTGTTTCATTAAAATCTGAACATATGAGACATATAGAACGAGTGCTCCATAGGTTGAAAATCCCAAATTAAGACCTGAAGATATTAAGTCACACAGCTCAACAGTGGTAAAGAACAGATTTGAAACCAATTTGGTCTCCTTTCTCCTTTTCATGTTACCCTAAAATAAAAGCTCTAAATATAGCATAATCTTATTTAAATAGATGGCACAAAAAGCCCACAAAATTTACAATCTGATAACAATGACTGGAAATGGAACAAAAATAAATATATTAACCAAAAGAATAGCTGAATGTCCAAGAAAACTATCAATATGGAGACTATGAATCATGGATTCAGCAGATGCCAACAGAAATAGGTTTTTTTTGGAATTCATGTCGAACTTCTTTATATTTGCTCTTTATTTATATTGCTCTATTTGCAAAACTGACTGGAGATAACTTATAAGAAAAGATACAATAAAAGCAAGGAAGACCAGTAAAGCCAGGTAAAAGGACAGAAAAAAAAGAAGAACATTAATTTAATAGAAGTTACTGCCCTTAAGCACCAAATATAATTCTGACTTCACAGGCAGTTAAGTTAAAAAAATATTTTACAAATTTCATGGCTCCCATTTCTTAATAAAATAAGTCTACTTTTCAAAGTACAGTTAGATACCATTGATGGTAGTATATAGCATAATAACAATTCTTCAGGAAAAAGTAAACTTATTCATTATTCCTAAAATTTACTCTTCCATAGAGTATAAAAAGAAACACTACTTTCATTTTTGTCAATTAAATTTAATCTACTCCAAAAATTCACTCTCTGGACATGCAGGAAATTGAATTTAGTCACTCTTGAATATCACTCCTATTCTATTCATAATAGTGTCAATGTCATGCATCTAATGCAATTTAAGCCTTTGAAGAGGAACATGTGGTCTTTCTGCCTGGTCATTGGTGACATGCTCTGTTTTGAGCCCACTCACCTCCTAACCCTGGATGACTCTATCACTTGTAAGACACCATTGTCTGTGGTCCATTTTCTTCATGTGCACCACACAGTTATATTATGGAGTGTGCTGCCTCAGTGAGCATTAAGAGGGAGCTGGCATGGGTCCCTTTTCTTATGAAACATATATAAGCCCAATTCCTTTTGAAATATTTGACCCAGCAATCCCACTATTGGGTGTTTACCCAAAGGAAAAAAAGCCATTTTATCAAAAAGACACTTGCACTCATATGTTTATTGCAGCACAAGTCACCACTGCAAAGATGTGGAATCAACCCAAGTGTCCATCAATCCATGAGTGAATTAATAATATGTAGTATATGTACACCATGGAATACTACTCAGCCATAAAAAATAAATTAATACCTTTTGTAAACAATCTGGATAGAACTGAAGACCATTCTCCTAAGTGAAGTATTTCAAGAATGGAAAAACAAACATCCCATGTACTCACTATTAAATTGGAACTAACCAAACAGCACTCACGAGCACAATAGGAAGTACAACGCAATGGAAATCAAACAGGTGGGAGAGAGAAGGTGGAGACAGGTGAAATCATATGTAACAGATACGAGGTACACTATCTGGGAGATGGGCACACTTATAACTCTGTCTCAAGCAGTACAAAAGCAATCCATGCAACCAAAATATTTGTACCCCCATAAAATTCTGAAATTTAAAAAAAGGAGGAAATCACAATGGAAACAAAAAAAATTTTTAGAACTGAACAATGAAGGTGACTCCTGGAAACTTGCAAAATACAGCTGAATTACTATGAAGAGGTTAATTTAAAACGTTAAATGTATTCTTAATTACGGTAAAATTCAAGTATATACAAAAGTAGAGAGGAGAGTTTAATGAATCTCTATGTATCCATTAATCCAGCTTCAACCATTATCAGCATTTGACCACCCTGGATTATTCTGGAGCAAAACATATGATATATTTCATCCATAAGTACTTCAGCGTGCATCTCTAAAACATAGCATCTCTCTTTTTTAATCAAACAATAATTCTATCACCATAATTAAAACAACTAATAATAATTACTTAATAAATTCTCTACACAGTTTGAAGAAAAAAAAAGAAATTTTGTAAAAACTCTTTAATATCCCTTTCTTTCATCTCCTACTAACTACAAGAAACCATTCTCTGTATCTTCTTCTTCTCTGGATTAATTGTAAATATTCTCCCATCAAAGTCCCATTACATGTAACCAAAATGTTCGTACCCCCATAATATCCTGAATTAAGATAAATAAGTAAATAAAGGAAATAAAAGGTCCCAATATGCAAAAAAGAAAAAAAAAACTCCCATTACAAACACAAGGTTGCTGAAAACTATAAAATTGGATGTGAGTGACATTCAGTTTATTCTTTTTTATGCTTACTTATTTTGTTAGATATACATTTATTAAAAATCTAAGGATAGTCAAAGTTACAGTTTGTTGATTTGTCAGTGGTGTTAGACTTGGAATTATAGGGATTTACTACCTATTTAGTTTAGGTTATTCTGTTTTCATTATTGAAGACAGAAGAAATGGGAAAAAAATCCTTCTCAAAATTAGGATATTAGGACATGGTCTAAAATGTATTCACTTGTTTTATGCCAGTCACATTCATATTGTCTCTCTCTGTCTCTCTCCTTCTCAATGTAGTAAAATACACATAACGATTTTAACCTTTTTTAAATATGCAGTTCAGTGGCACCACGTACATTCACACTGTTGTGTAACTATCACCACCATCCATCTCCATAATTTTTTCATCATCTCGAATTGAAACTCTGTACTCATAAATAATAACTCCCCATTCTGCTGCCCCCACCCAATCCCAGGCAACCACGATTTTACCTTCTTTCTTTGTGAATCTAAGACAGAATTTGGCTATTGTGGGTATCCCTTATAAGTGGAATCATTTGTGTCTGGCTTATTTCACTTAACATAGTGTCTTCAAGGTTCATCCTTGTTGCAGCATGTGTCAGAACCTCATTCTCTCTTACCATGTTTTTCTTTAGTTAGACAATATGACTGTGTTTGGCAACAAAGCTGAGAAAGGAATTGGAATTAATGAGTTTTAGTGGGCAGCAAATTAAAGAATATCATGGGGGGGGGGGAGGCTCCTGGGAAGCAGAAAGGGAAACTGCAGAAGCTGATATTACAGCACTTGTATTTTTTTCCATTGCACTGGAAAATTAATTTGAACACTTTTCAGCACTTCTTCATCTGTGGTTTATATTGGACACAGGGTTTTTTCGATTTATTGCTTAGTTTGAAAATGAACAAAAACTTTGTATCAGCCT